GCCAGCCTCCGCCCGCGCCCTGGCCGAGCCACCCCACGAACAGTGCAATGTGAAGGAGGGCAGGGCCTGCGGGGGGAGGGCGTGCCCAGCTGCCAGAAAGCACAGACCCGACCCGAGCTATTTATATGTTGTAAAGTTATAATAAAGTGTTTCTTACTGTTTGTAACCCCTGGCGGCGCCCCGCCATCTGCAGGCACCCCTCCTCGCCCTGCCATGCCTGTGAAGCCCTGAATAGCTTGGCTTGTAGGGGTCTGGCACTGCCATCTGTGCCCACCTTGGACTCCCAAAGGTGTGGGATGGCCAGGGCAGGCCCCAGGCGGACACCACCCTCCCCCACAGCGCAGTTCACACGGCACAGGGCTCTGTCCGTCGGCTTTATTTCCGTGGTTTGGGCTCCCCGAGAGGTGTATGAGTGCCCAGCTTCCCAACCAGGCCCTCGGGGGTAGGCACTGTGGGCAGGGTGCCTCGGGAAAACCTCGCTGATCTGTAACGTCAGTTCCGGGGAGGCCCAGGCTGAGGGAGGGTGGCCAGGCCGGCAAGGGAGAGGAGAGCCTGGCATAGACTCCCCCATAGTGCCCAGTGAGGAGCCCAGCTGCACTCATGGCAGCCCTCGCTCCGTCCCCGACTGCCCCAAGGGCCTAGCTGAGGCGCTGCCTAGCCAAGGACAGCACACGAGGGCAGTGTGAGACTGTCCTGAGGGGCCGCCCTCCGCCCTGCCAGGAAGCGGTAAGCACCCTGGAGACCGTGCAGGGCCTACCCTGTGCCCATCTGGGCATGCCCCACCCCCATGGCAGGGGACCCAGGAGACCTGCAGCCTGACAGGCGAAAGCACAGTCAAAATTTTTAAGTATCCCTGCAGGGGCTCTGCCACCCTCCCTGGCTGGCCAGGTCACAGGTTCAGGGCTCTGGCCTGCATAGCAGTGTGCCCACGCTGGCCCCACCAGCCGGCTCTCCCAGAAGTAGCCTCCACCGGGCACCGAGAAAGGGTGCCCGCCCCAAGCCTGCTCATCTGGAAAAATGACAACAAAGATTCAAAGCCCAGATGCTGCAGTTAAGAGCTGGGGGAGCCCAGGAGGGGACAAAAGCTGCACAGGCCCCATCTCCGGGCAGGAAGGAGCATGGTGTGCACAGGCGAGGGCAGGGAGTGGCAGCCCAGGACAGCGCCAGGCTCCCCTAGGGCCTCCCCGATACTGAATGTGGAAGCTGCACCTGTGGCTGGGCCCCAGCTGTTCTGCAGTGAGGTGCCTTGTTACCCTTATCCCCG